GCTCATCTCCATGGTTTCTCCCTCCTGCCTATCCACTATTCTGGTCCAGTGTGACCTTTCTAAATCATATCTGGCCATGCTGTTTCCTTGATGAAAACCCTCCGATGGCTCCTGTTATCCATGCAGTACAGTCCAGAGCCTTAGCTCAGCATCCAGTACCCTGTAGCTGGCTGTCACTCCTAAATTGTACATTCCACTCATGTATTCCTTTATTCAGGAGATGTTTATTAAGTATCAGTGACCAGACTAGGTATTAGAATTATAATTATTATTTGTTTCAAGCTAACCAGCGCAGAATAAGAATTGTATCAGCTAACACTTTTTGCCCTCTTTCTAGGCACTTGGGGCCAGGCTAAGCACTTGATATGCATCATCTCTCTTACCTCTTTTAATAACCCTATGAAACTGGTTATTATTTTCATTCCCCTTTGACAGATGAGGAAACTGAGCCCAGAAAGTTAACCTAGCCTGCCGAAGATGGCTCAGCTAGGAAGTAATAAAGCCAAGACTTCTGTCGCCCAAGCCCATGCCCTTGACCACTTATCAATCCCAATTTCTTTCATATATATTAGACTAAACTGGTGGTATCTTTCTCCATACATGTATTTTGTAAGAAATATGGGCATAGAATTCATACTAATTAAAAATTACAAAGCTTGCTGTCTACCAGACACTAGCATAGGAATTTGGTAAATTCTTCTCCTAAGTACTCCAGGGCCAACCACAAGATTCCTGCCTTGAGCCCCAGATCCCAGAACCCCCATTCCTGATTCCTCATGTGGTGTCCCATGCCTGGGTTAGTTATGATTTCCCAGGAGGGGCCTCTGCTTTTCTCTCTGTACCAGCCTTTTGGGGTGCATGGTGGACACTTGATAACTGCACTGAATTAAATCAGATTGAATTGAACCAAATTGAATTCACAGGCAGATATTCTCCAGCAGTGGCTGGGATTTAAGTTCGTTGTCCTAATCACCTTGTGGTAGATTGCATTGTCTCCTCCAAAAGCCAGTCTAAGTATTTAGGTTTTTGAGGATGTATATCTTAAGGGGTTTCCGTTCAAACAGGGTAGCTTTTCTGCAAAGGCCACTGGAAATAGATCTGAGTTGTGCGTGCTCTTTGATGCAGTTTTCTGATATGCCTCGGAAGTGAAACAATGTGGACTTAAGAATCATCCATACTGCTTACACTGCTGCATGACCTTGGGCAAGCTACTTAACCTCTCTGGGTCTCTGGTTCTTTATCTTTCTGTCCCATCAGGATACTGTGAGAATTAAAATGAGAAATTTAATGTGAACTCTTACTATGCACAATGCTTAGTAACAACACACAACTTTTGGAAATAATTATAACAGTTCTTCTTCTTTCCCTGTCTCTCCTGTCCATGTTGAATTGGACAGTGAACTGGATTGGGAGCAAGGACAATAAGGAAATGACAGAGGCAGAAATCAGGAAGCGTGATCTTCAGTGGGGGTTGGTCAGCCAAGGGCTCTGGACGAATGGGGAGTTCTTAGGTTCTATGCTTGGGAAGGCAGTTGAAGGATATGGAAAATTGAGAGAGGATGAGCCTGGAGAGATAGATAGAGGATAGATGATTCGTATTTTATTCCAAGGACAATAGGAAGCCACTGGAAGGTTTACAGCAGGGAAGTAACATGATCAGCTTTGCATTTTTGAAAGACCACCCCAGCTTCTGCTGGAGAACAGGATGGAAGGATGGATGCAGGCACAGACACAAGCTGCTCATTGTTGCAGTCGCCCAGGTGAGAGATGATGAGGCCTGCATTAACACAGGCTGTGTGTATTAGTGGAGACTGAAAGGAGAGAGGGATTTAACAGACTTAAAAACAGCAACAATTGGTTAGCAATACAGTGAACCTGGGGGACAAAGCCAGGGTGGGCGAGGGTGAGAGGAATAAGATGGCTGTCAGCCCTTGGTTTAAGTGTCAGCCCTTGGGTTAAGTGTGTGGGATGGCAGGAAGTGGCAAAGGGGATGATGGCATCTTAAGTTCAAGATGTCCTGGTACAGCAGAAGTAGATGGAGGTAAGGATTTAAAGGTGTGGGAAGGAGTAAAAGTTGAAAATAGATGTTTAGGAGCCATCAGCATAAAGTTATGTGCGAGGAGAGTGCTTACAAATGGGAAACAACACGGAAAGAGGGAGGATGAGAGGACGAGCAAAATAAATTAAGAGTATTAGGACATCCTGGGAGCCTAGCCTCATCCACCAGAGAGAGTGGGCATGGAGTTGATTGCACCGGCATCCAGCATGTCAAGGAAAGGCCTGGGAATTACACTGGGTGTCCACTGTGTATCTGCTGTGATCATGGAAGGCCCTCTATCTTCCTGCCTGGCCTAGAAAGTCCCCTGAATTCCAATCTGTTGCATTGGCCCATGAGCCCCAGGCCTGCCCTTCCCAGCTTCTTCTCCTTCCAGGGCTGGCCTTCTCCTTCGAGTTATGTTGAAGAGCCCTGGTCTGCATGGGTCTTTGCAAATCTCTTCCAGGTTCCACACTCCACATTCCATAATAAGAGGGAAAGCTTCTATCTGAGAGTGAGCAAAAGAGTGAGACACCTTGAAAGTGGGGCTTTGTTTCCCAGTTCAAGGCATGTGTCCCAGGAATCATATGAGTCCTTGATGGTGGACTCACTGAGAAGGCCTGCAGAGCTCTGACATGTGTTAAGCTCTTCTAACTTCTTGGCTTCATGGGTACTGCTCTGAACTAAACAAATGAAAGTGTCTAGAATTCATGCTCATGGAATATAACTCAGTTGATTAGGAGTTGTCCCAGAAATCTACATTTTCAATACTCACCCTAGGCCATCTCGATGAAACTAGTCAGAGATCACCTTAGAGAAATACTGACTTAAAAAAGAGAACTGTGAGGGGACCCAACATCTAACAACCATCTGCAATTTGCCACTCTATTGACAGTTCATTTAGTCCTCACTAAATGAGATGAGGTAAATATATCATCATTTATTGTCTAGGAAATAATCTGGGGCTCCGAGATATTTAGCAACTTGATTCCCTGAATTTGGTGCTCCTGTTGGCCCTAGACCACATTTGTAGCCACGAAGGGAAGAAAAGGAGGAAGAGAAAGGAAGGAAAGAAGGGAGAATGCAAGGAAGAAAGGAAAGGGGGAAGTTAGCTAGTAAATTCAAGGTATGAGGATTGAGAACGGTGGATCTTGAATCTTTAATTCTTTATTGAGTCATTTCTTAATTATGAAACAACTGAGAAAGCATCCTGTGACCTGAAAGAGATGAGTACCTCCATTTTCATTCATGGATGATTGAAGTGTATGCCCAGTGTTGACCTTTTCAGTGAACCCAGGGCATTAATGGGGAATCCTCCTTGAACCAAATTTTAGAGGAACAGACAAGTTTTCACATGTGCCCTTATCACTAATGCCAGCCTAATGCCTGATTCTACAAAGGATTAACAGTCAACAGAAAGGTAGATATGTTTCATTTCTCTTTGGTCTGAACATTCTCAAGTGGGAAGAGTCATGACATTGGCAGCTTTAGAGAAAGTATGAAATTACAAGTGTTGGCCATTGACAGCCTGTCCTTTGAAGTTGTCTCGTTAGACCATCAATCTTCACCTAAGTCACTTTGAGTCCTCCAGACTCAATTACCCCTGGCTACCCCACTCGCATATCCCCACCGAAGTTCTGCCATAGCCCCGTGGATACCAGTACTCACATTTGATTCCAGTTCTCCACTCACAGCTGTTTAATCTTAGGCAAGTCACTGAACCTCCGAGAGCCTCATGTTACTGTTGGTGGCATTTAAATGGCACAAGTTTTGGGGAAGGTCATTTTCACAGTAAGAATTAAAGTATAAAATGTGGATATCACTTTTAGAAATGTATAGCAAGGAACTAGAGAATAGTGAGAGGTTAGTGCAAAATGATATGTGCAAGGATATTCACTGCAGCATTATTTATTATAATGGAGAAAAGGACACAGCATATGTCCAATATTAATGGTTTAATAAACTGTGGCACCTGTGGCTGATACAATGTGCGGCAATTAAAGTTACAATTTCAAAGGATATTCAAAGAAATTGGAAAATGCTTAATATAGGATATTAAGTTAAAAAATCAATATACAAAACTGAATATGTAGTTTAAACTAAATATACAGTCCTAATGCATATTATTTATGTTCTTTTGTATTTCTAAGTTTTACGATAAGCATATATATTACTTTCTGCATACAGAAAAATAAGTTAAAATGTATTTTGAGAGCTCCCACCACCTACAGGGTTAGGAACAAACTTTCTAGCAGAAGGTTTTCATAATCCAACTCCATTCCAACTCAGCTCCTTCATTTTCTGTCACTTCCTCCTCATCATCTTCAGTTCCCCACACCGTTCCCTCTCTTGCACCTTGCTTTAGCTACCCCAAGCTGCTTGGCATTCTGTAAATGCATTGTAACAGTGCATACTGCCATGCCTTTGTGCTTCCTGCTTTCCCTAGCCAAAACGACCTTCCCTGCATTTTTCAAGAACTAATTCAGGCATCTCCACTTCTTCCTTGACAGTTAATTATTTCCTGCCGCTTTCTCCTACAGAACAGTTTATATATACTTAATAATTACTTATTTTGTAGCTGTCATTTTGCCTTTCTTCAACATATGTGGGAACCCCAAGGAAGGAAGACTAACTAAAAGATCTCAGAGGATCAGGAAAGGATTCACAGAGATGAGTTGCAGGAAAATGGGTAGGAGTTTGTCCACTAGACAAAAGACAATAAATGCCCCAACAGAATTCCAGAGTGAGTTCCCAGCTTGTATCTATTTCTCTCATAACTCTTATCTCACTGTATAGTGTGTTGTTTATGGGTACGTGTTTCTCTCCTGCCATTGAGGTCATTGAGAACAGAAAATGTGCCTTGTTTGCCTTGCAGTGTTTAGCACAGTGCCTGGCACATCTGGGCATCATAAATACATTTTTGTCCCAGAGAATGAAGGTCTGAAAATAACAAGAAAATAATTACCTTTCTCCTTGTCTCAGGGTGAATGGAGAAAAATCATGTTCTTATTGTCACTTATCACCGGTTTCAAGTATGAGCCCAGAGATGCTGAAAATGCTTTATATTCTGCTAATTTGAACCAAATTGAAGAAGTTGTTCACTTGGTAGGCCTTAAGAGAATAGTCTGCAAAATTTCGACTTCATTTGAGTATAAGAACTGTACCAACATGAGCTTTGTTTCCCCTTTAAACAACATGCCACATTTCAGAGTGATGCCTTTGAAATAAATCCTGTTTGAGTAATGTTTCTCTTGGACTCATAAAATCTTTATGGAAATCTTCTCTCATCTCATAGACTATGAGAAGAAAGAGAGAGCCAAAACCACTGAGCCTGAAGTGAAGAGTGCAGTATTTTCTCAGATGTGGGTCACACTTTAATGTAAATAGTTTTTAAATGCATATCCCATACTGACTCACATTAGCTCAAAAATCCTAGCTCTGTCCAAGTGCTGAATCTGTGAGTTAAGATCTGTTAATCTCTGATTGAAGAGTAGGTGATATGGAAATATATCCATTCAGATAGAAAGTTTGAATATATTAAAAGATCTAGTAATGGCCACACTAGGGATAAGAACACAAATGCTGGCAGAAATAAAAACAGCTTTATGTCCTCCCTCAAAGAGAGACAGAGAGAGAGAGAAGCAGTAAGTTGGCAGAGCTGAGCTCTCAACCCAGCTATGCAAAGGGGCACTGACTTGGGAGCCATACACCCATTCAACATACATTTTTGGGGTACCTGGTATATAATAGGCATTATACTATGACATTAAATTAGGTAAACATAATCTTTGGTCTCCATGAGGTCACAATCAGTGTTTGCTCACCCACTGACCAGCTGTTAACTTTGAGTCATTTACTTAACCTTTCAAGCTTCAGGTTTTTCATTTTAAAATTTTGGATAATAGGATCTCACTAGATTATTGTGCAGATTAAATAAGGTAATGTCTACAAAGCACTTTGCATAGAACTTAACATTATAAACTCTCAATGGATGTTACATATTAGTATGTGGTGTGATGCGCTATGCTAAGTTATTTATATTCATGGTGTTATTTGTTCTCTCATTTACTCTACCCCTGTCACCTTGACTAGGTTTTAATTCACCCTTTACATAGGCAAGAAGAAGGCAGATCAGAAGAATGTGGTTTGCTAACTTGCCAAGTTCATACAGTTAGTAGTGGGAACAGCATTTAAAGCCAGTTATTTCTTCCTCTAAAACCAGTACTCATGATTATGATGGTACTGGTTAGAGCAGGAATGGGGACAGTTACCAGTGCTTGCTATCAACCATCCAAAATTGTAAGACAAAATTTCCTACCCTCACCAGGACTGGCATTTTGGGGAAGGCAAAATCTAGGGGAATGAAGTGGTCACATGACTCAGGTATTTGTGTAACTTTCTTTTTTTTTTTTATTTTTTATTTTTTTATTTTTATTTTTTATTGGATTATAGGTTTTGCGGTACATGAGCAGAGCATGCAAGACAGTTGCGTAGGTACACACATGGCAGTGTGCTTTCTTTTCTTCTCCCCTTCACCCACATTTGGCTTTTCTCCCCAGGCTATCCCTCCCCACCTCCCCCTCCCACTGGCCCTCCCCTTTTCCCCCCAATAGACCCCAGTGTTTAGTACTCCCCTTTCTGTGTCCATGTGTTCTCATTTTTCATCACCCACCTATGAGTGAGAATATGCGGTGTTTCATTTTCTGTTCTTGTGTCAGTTTGCTGAGGATGATGTTCTCCAGATTCATCCATGTCCCTACAAACGACACAAACTCATCATTTCTGATTGCTGCATAATATTCCATGGTGTATATGTGCCACATTTTTCCAATCCAGTCTATTATCAATGGGCATTTGGGTTGATTCCAGGTCTTTGCTATTGTAAACAGTGCTGCAATGAACATTCGTGTACATGTGTCCTTATAGTAGAAGGATTTATAGTCTTTTGGATATATACCCAGTAATGGGATTGCTGGGTCAAATGGAATTTCTATTTCTAAGGCCTTGAGGAATCGCCACACCGTCTTCCACAATGGTTGAACTAATTTACACTCCCACCAACAGTGTAAAAGTGTTCCTTTTTCTCCACATCCTCTCCAGCATCTGTTGTCTCCAGATTTTTTAATGATCGCCATTCTAACTGGCGTGAGATGGTATCTCACAGATTGATTAAAAATAAAAGAGAGAACAATCAAATAGATGCAATAAAAAATGATAAAGGGGAAATCACCACAGATTCCACAGAAATTCAAACCATCATCAGAGAATATTACAAACAACTCTATGTGCATAAACTAATAAACCTGGAAGAAATGGAAAAATTCCTGGATTCCTGTGTCCTCCCAAGCCTAAACCAGGAGGAAGCTGAAACTATGAATAGACCAATAACAAGGTCTGAAGTTGAGGCAGCAATTAAGAGCCTACCACACAAAAAAAGCCCAGGTCCAGACGGGTTCACAGCCGAATTCTACCAGACACACAAGGAAGAGCTGGCACCATTTCTTCTAAAACTATTTCAAACAATTTGTGTAACTTTCAAGTCAGGGACACTTGTGGGTTAATAGACATGGGGAAGATAAATCCTAGCCCTTGGGAGAGTAGATCCAAAGTCCAGCCATTCAGAAAGAGTTTCACAAAACTGCTAGCCCATGGGGGAGCAAGAAATGGGACCAGAGATTGGAGCAGACCAGTCAGACAGATGGGCCACATTTAGGTGAAGTGGTTCATGATCAAGGATGCAGGGACTCCAGGGACTAAATCCCTGGCTCCTGGAATCTTAGTTGGGGGTCAGGGGAGGATAAAAGACTATTTCCAGAATCTACTTGACAAGAGGAAAAGGGGCTCATGATGAATTTCCTGCTGGAGACAATTGTCATTGGGACAGGGCAAGTTGACCCTGAATATGTGGCCAAGCAAAGGCTGGGCAAAAGCTGGCACCATAGAAGCCACCAACTCATACATTCCAGTTGGAACCTCCAGCTGAGAGAACTCTTTGATTGTATTGGTCTGCATCCTGTGGCTTAGGGACAGTGGGAGTTCTGAACTAGTGACAACACATTGTTACCTCAGTGAGAAGAATATGCTTTTTTCTTTTCGTTCAAGAGCTTATGATTCAGTCCTATGGATTCACATAAATATATATTCTTTTTGATTTACTCCCTGTGGCAAATAGGAGTACAAAACATAGCAATACCCTGTCCCCCTCCCCAAAGCTGTCCCATAAACAGTGGCAGCTATCTGAATTCCCTTGATTGAAATTGGAGAGGTCACATCTCAATAGTATCTTTAGGCCTTGCTTTTCCCATTTGTGACAGTCTTAGACTGTCCTGGGGCCTCCCTAAGGTGTCCTCCCAGCTCTGACCTTCTATGGGTGTCTTTCAGACATTTGGCCAGCCATCAAGCAGGTAAACGGATCAATGAGGGCCGTTCATGGAATTGTGCTCCTGGGCTTCTATCTGCTGCTTTCAGCTCCTGCTGCCACCATCAGATCAATGGAGGGAGCACATGGCTGTGTAGTCACAATAATGGCTCCTTTGAAGAGACTTTGCTCAGTCCTTCTCCTGTAAGCTACAGAGGTCAGGGGCAGCTGTGCCCAACACCTGGCAGCTCAAGGGAGGCCCATGTTGGCCTCTAATAAAAATAGCAGGGGTGTCTGGAATGGACCACATGCCGCTCTCCCACTCACCTGTAAGGCTGTCTGTCCCCATCAGAGGGGAGTTGTCATTGCTCATATCTCATGGATATCTATCCCATGTGGTGCTGGCCTCATTGTCCACTGAAGCTGAAGGAAAGCATGTTGCGTCCAAGAAAACAAAGCAGAATTTTCAGCTTGTTTACAGTAATAGCCTCACGGGATGGCTCCTGGCTTAGGAATCAGAGAGTTTGCTGGACAAATACATGGGACAGAAAGTGCTGAAACCCAACTCTCAGATATTACATGGTCCATTCCCCTCCTCTCTGCTTGTCGGTCAGTGCACATGGTCCCAAATGTTCACTCTAGCCCCTGAGTCTGCCTGACCGACTGACTCAAGGAACCGATTCCTAGTTTCTACAGCTCTTAATTCAAACTATGAAGAGAGAGTATCTGATTGGCTCCACTCATAAGCTGAATGTCCACACCTTGTGCAATCAGCTGCAGCTAGAAAGGGGCAAGCTCAGCTGGTATCAGCATAGCCAGCAGGGCAGTCCTGAGAAGAGGGCAGGGGCTTGGCAGCAACTCTGGGCATATCTTCTACGTTAACTTAACCTTTCTATCTTCTCTTTGGTCTCTCTCGGGAAGTAATGGAGGAAAGTATTCTTTTCAATTTGCCTCCCTGAGCTACACAAAATAATACAAAGGGTCTGGCATTCAGTGAAGAGAAGCTGGAGAGCAATTTCAGGGTGTCTTCACCACTAGAGTATTGTCTATCTGGCTTTCACAGTCTGCAAAAGGGAGCTCTGTAAATACCAGGGATTTTGTGATTATTATGAATCCTCTAAGCAGCTAAATTTCCCAAATTCTCAGAGTTGTAATGCCTTGGGATTTAGAGATATGATTAAGAACAGATGAGTCTCACAAAGGTTGATGGTGAGGATCTGGGATTGCATCAAACCACAGAGAGAATTTTGCTGTGAGTTCCAGGCCCTCATCTCCCCCAGTGTGACAATGGGGACAAGTCCAGTGGAACAAGGACTGGAGAGGGGTTGTGGCACACAGGACCTCTGTTACGGTAGCCATTGGGCCCAGGAATCCTGGCCTCTCATTCTCCCAGAACTTGTGATACAATCCATAAACCCACTCAACAGATTACGGAAAGGTAATGCTGAGTCAGCCCTGGGCTGTGTGCCATAGCCGTCCTGAACAGTTTTCTGCCATTACGGGATAGAAGAAGACCGGCCAAGTCTGGCTCATTTCCTCTCAGCAGCCATTTGCCTTCTGCCCACACATCAATCTTGCCAAAAGAGGGCCCATGCTGTAGCATTGAGTCATTCTTCTGCCCTCTTTAGTTTTTACTCATTCCTCAGTGTTTTCTCTGACTCTACTACTTACTGAAAGGTATAGAAATACCAATAAGGCAATACTATGTTTTATTTGATCTATAGACTGCAGCAACCTGAATCTATATTATCTGTCATGCCGGGAATGTTTTGACCTTCTAAAAGGAAATGAATGTGCTCCGGACCAGAGCCAATCAAGCAGTGTAGACCCACTCGCAAGCAAAAGTCCAGGGCCTTGAGAGTTCCAGGGCATTAAATCACCATCAGAATATGGCTAGAGTCTTGAAGCTGATGATCTGGAGCACTAAGAGAAGGGAAGGAGCAATGACCCCACAGCTACTATAACACATGGTAGAGTGAGGGTGCGGCAGCCAGGATGCCTGAGTTCTGCCACTTTATAGCTGTGTGACCTCAAGAAAGTTGCTTAACCTCTCTGTGTCTTTATCTTCTTACCTGCAAGCCACAGGTTATAATGGGTTGCTGTAATAGATGAGTAAATATATGCGAGGAACTTAGAATAGTGCCTGGGATGCAGTAAATGCTGAGGGTAGCATCTATGTCCCAAGTGGTACATAAGTGCTTTATGCCATATCTTCTCATTCTGTGCTCATATGACCCTGAAAACAGCTTTTGGTGTTCCCATTATACAGAAGAATAAAGTGAATTTCTGATATTCAACAAATTGCCCAGGGCCACCATGGCTAGTAAGTAGCCAGGACAGATTTCCAAGGTGAAAATCTCTGACTACAAACCCCGTGTTCTGTCTCTTGACCACTTCCCCTCGTGGTCATCCTGGCTTCCTGTAATTACAAACTCTCCCCTTTAGTTCCCTTCATTGTCTTTTGACCTTGACTTTCAGGGACTCTGGAATCTCAGTGCTAGTTCCCAACTTTGAGACAACTAAGACCAGTTACTTAATCTGTCTTCGCCTCGATTTCTTTATTTCCATGAAGTGGCATAGTAACAGAGCCTGCTGAGAAGGAGAACAGCAGCCCCTGATGGCTGGAAGCTGGCCTGGCACTATCAGTAAGGCCTTGTTCTGCCAAGAGCTGGCCTGGCACCCACACCTAGACCTTGGGGTTCTCCAGTTGACCATAAACAATTTTATCCAATGTCAACACCCAACAAGGCCACTCTAGGACTGTGATAGATTAAGACAAAACAAGACCATTTCAAAATCATGAACTTAGACAAAAACAAGAACATTATTCAAAATACAAAGATGACCTAACAGCCCCCCTCCCTCCATCTCTTGACTGATGTGAATGATGGCTTCTTCTTTACCAATTACAACTCTCATCTTCCTTCATTCCCCCTGCCTTGTAAATAAAATTTATGAAGTACTCATTCAGCACATTACACCTACTCCAGACAGTCTCTAATCCAGGGCAAAGCTCTGCTTCCTTGAACCCTCCCTCAAACACCTAACACAAGCCCTAATCCTACAGTGAATTATTTCTTACCCTCTTACTGAGACACTACACAGCTCCCTGTGGTGTGCATTCTCAACCTCACTGCCACCAGTCAGTAAACCCAACTTTCTTCAACTACAGCGAGGCCCGTGGTGGTCACTGGCCAGGGGCTGATACTGCCTCTAGATTCATAAGTGATGATGCCTGAAGAACACTTAGAAATAGGTCCTAGTCCATAGTAAACACCCAATACATGTCAGTCATGGGCATGATGTTTATTACAAGAAATGACCTTCCTCTTTGGACAGAGCTAGGGAGCATAAATTTGCTCTCACTAACCAGCCCCCTTCTTTTCTGAAGTCCATGCAGTCCCCCACTTATGCTTGCCCTGGGCACTGAAGCATCCTCTTTTTGCATTTCACAGATCTTTATACTGCAGACCTCAAACCTAGAAAAATCTGTTTTGCCCATGACATTGGAGGCTGCTGTCTGCCCTGTCTCTGGGATCCTAATGAAGGACATCCTCTCAGGGTATTTAGACAGCATGGAGAGGGAGGAGGGGGGCTAGATGAGCAGTGGAGTGATGATCAGGCCTTGGCAGCCCCTTCCCACTTCCTAGCAGAGTAGATACTTTGCACATGGAAGTTCCCTCACCCACTTGCCAAGGCTGTATGGGCCAGAGGAGCCTGGCCAGATTCTTCATCGCAAATGTACTCGCAGCTGCATCAGCGAGGGACAGCCCAGGGACCACAGAGTTCTTCCATGCCTTCTGCTGCTAAATGCAGATAATGCATTAAAAATACAGAGCTGCATCTGTTTGTTGTAACATGGGTATCGAGGAATTTACGTGGTTTATAATGACAGGGTGTGAGGAGAGTAAAATGCTTATTCTGTCTGGGAGCCAGAGGCACAGCTGTGGGCAAAGAGCTGGAGGTGTGGTTTCTGGTGCCCATCAAACTCTGGGTGCTACCCAAGGCCCTCCCTTTGAGACACCCGGGGATAGATCCAGGTATTTATCTGGAAATACCAAACTACGTAACATAACCAATCAAGCAGAAAGTGGATGTCCAGATGCCTAGGAGGCCTTCTGGCCCAACTCTGGTATTTTCAGAGTTTCCAAGAGAAGGGAGGCACAGGACAGAAGAAACAACATGCCTCGTATGATTCAGTTGTTCATTTTCTGTCAATCATGAACTAAGCACCCAACCTGCTATTCAAGTTGTCTGTAAAATGGGGTGTTTAAAGTACCTTTCTTCTTGAATGTTTTTCTTAAGTAAAATAATTGGATTAAATGGCCTCAAACAGTACCCAAATCATCTAACACAAGCCCAAATCCTGCAATGAATTATTTCTTGCCAGGTAAGATGTGGGCTTTCAATAAAAGTGTGCTATTATCGTTCTACTCCATGTGAAGGGTTACGTTAGATTTTAGAGCACTGGGATGAATCAGGCAAGATCCATTCCCTTCTCTACCAGTTGGGGAGACAAACAATTGCTATAATATACTGTACAATGGGATGGCATTGTATGGACTTACATAAGCTGTTATGGGAACACAGAAGAGAGTTGGGAGAATCAAAGAGAGCCTCCTAGAGGAAGTGATACCTGACCTAAGTCCTGTAGAACAGGTTGAAGTCTACCAGACCTAAAAGGTCGGAGGGATGATTCCAGCCATGAGTAGTATGTGCAAAGGCCCTGGGGAGAGGGGGAGAGTGTTGTGTTTCTGGGGAAAATGTAGTGTAGCAGGACCTTAGGGCAGATGCATTAGATGTCTGTTGTTATGTCACATATTACTCCAAAACTTAGTGGCTTGAAACAACATTTATTAGCTCATATTTTGTGTGTTAGGAATGGAAGTGTGGCTTAATTGGGTTCTCTGGCTTAGGATTTCTCATAAGGCTTCAATCAGGGTATCCACTAGGGCTGCCATCATCTCAAAGCTCAACTGGAAGGGAGGACTAGCTTCCAAGTTTCTTCACATAGTTGTTTGCTGGATTCAGTTTCTCTGTGCTATTGACCAGAGACAGCCCTCAGTTCCTTTCCAAAGGGAAGCTTTCAACACAGCTGCTTCATCAGAGCAAGCCAGAGAGTAGAGCCAGAGAGAGAGGATAAGACACAAGTGATGGTCTTTTACAACCTAATATGAGAAGTGACATTCCATCACTTTTTCTGTATTCTATTCTTTAGAAGCAAATCACTAGGTCCAGCCCACACACAAAGGGAGGGGATTGCACAAGGGCATGAATACCAGAAGAGAAAGAACATTTAGAGTATTTTTTGAAGCTTCTTATCAAAATCTGCCCTCTGGCCAATGATTCCTGTCCCTTCCACACACGAAATAAAATCATTCCCTCCCAAAGTCTCTAAACATCTCTTCCCATGAAAGCACCAACTGAAAGTCCAGGATCTCATCATCTAAATTAGGTGCAGGTGTGGATGAGGCCCTTGGGTATAATTCCTTAAGTACAAGTTCCAGAATACTGTTACTATGGATTTGGTGATTTAAAAACTAAAGAGGTAAATTATCTGCCCCAACATGTAGGTTGGGCCATACAATGGCAGGTTAGGCCTAGAGTAATGGCTATAACATTGCTAGTCAGGGAGGGGAAAATGTGAGGTATCAAGACATCACTGGTCCACAACAATTTTGAAATCCAGCTAGGAAAAGACTGCAAGTTTCTTGGTTAGGTTTCAAAGCCTGGGGATAATTCTCCATGACTCTTCGCTCTACCTTCTAAGCTCTTGGTTCTTCCCTCTGAGTAATCCTTCCTTTTTCATGAAAGGAAGCCTGTGTTTAAAGCTGATTTGTTTTCTTCGCCTGTTTCCTGCTGAGAATTTTAGGGGTTCAATGACCTCATTTTATTTTATACTATCTCTGTTTCTTTCTGTCCCAGCTGTGTTTCTTCTGATAAGTTTTCTCAAAACCTTTTTGGCTCTTCTGTAAATTGCACTGAGATTCCTTCTATTACTCAAAAGCCAAACCCACAAATGTCTTTGAGAACCAAACACTTTTCAACCTGAGCCTCTTGAAAAGATGGCCAAGGGACAGCCCTTATGCTGCTTCCTAGAGTCCCTATTGTTTGATCTGGAGGATCTATGAGGCCTACTCTAATCTCCTTAAAGGGCCTTTGTATGACTGAATAATACCATGATCTTTTGATATTTCCGAGGTCTTAACCAAAGGCTCCACAGTCACACCCTCAGCTTTATCTCAGACCATCTTTTCTTGACAGTACTTGCTCAAAAATCATTTCTTAATTTTAGCACCTTTTGCTGACTTGGGAGACTGAGAATTTTTGAAACTATCAGGTCCTGGCTCACTTTCACTTTTTTTCTCTCTCTCTTCTCACATAAGCAGTAAGAAGTAATTATTTTAACACTTTTCTTGGACATCTCCATAGCTAGATAATTAGGTTTATTAGGCACATATTTTGCTTTCCATGTAACTGCAGACAACAGTGGCACTAAGCTTTCTACCCCTACCTAACAAGGATGCCCCTCCTCCATGATATGGTTTGCATGGGTCTTCCAAATGTCGTGTCTGGCAAAATTAATCCCCAGTGTGGTAGTGTTAAAAGGTGGGGACTTAAAGAGGTGATTGGATCATGAGAACCCTGTCTTCATGAATGGATTAACCCATCCATAGATTAATGGGTTATCACAGGAGTGGAACTAGTGACTTTATAAGAACAGGAAGGGGCCAGTATGGTGGCTCATGCCCATAATCCCAACACTTTGGGAAGCCAAAGCAGGAGGATCAGTTGAGGTCAGGAGTTTAAGCCCAGCCTGGCCAACATGATGAAACCCTATATCTACTAAAAATACAAAAATTAGCCAGGTGTGGTGGCATATGCCTGTAGTTCCAGCTACCTATGAGGCTGAGGCAGCATAATCGCTTGAACCCAGGAGGTGGAGGCTGTAGTGAGCTGAGATCATGCCACTATACTGCTGTACAGGCAACAGAGTGAGACTCCATCTCGATCTGCTGAAAAAAAAAAAAAAAAAAAGAAGAGAGACCTGAGCAGGCACATCAACATGCTCAGTCCTCTCTGCAGATAGTCCTCACCAATAAGAAGGCTCTCACTAAATGCAGCCCTTTGACCTTGGACTTCTCAGCTTCTGTAACTGTCAGAAATAAATTTCTTTTCTTTACAAATTACCCAGCTTCAGGCATTCTGTTACAGCCATTAGAAAATGGACAAAGACATTCCAGTTTCCAATAACATGTTCATCATTTCTTTTAAGCCCTCACCAGCCATGTTCTCAAAGTCCACATTTCTACAGTGTCTTCAATTGTGTTTGAGGCAATTGAAGATTTCTCTAACAAGCTCCTTAGAATACTCCTCACCTCTGCCCACTGCCTGGTTCCAAAGCTATCTCACATTTTTAGGTATATGTCACGACACCATCTCTCCCTTGATACCAGAATCTGCAGTCATCATTTCAGTTTATAACAAATTATCTGAAGACTTAGTGGCATGAAACACCTATTAGTCTCTATGGGTCAAGAATTAGGTACATTTTAGCTAAGTCTGTCATAAAGCGGTATCCACTAGGGCTGCAAGCATCTCAAAGCTCAAAAGGGGAGTGATCCATTTCCAGGCTTACTCACAGTTATTGGCAGGGTTCAGTTCCTTGCAGGCTGTTTGAATGAGGATCTGAGTTCCTCACTGGGTGTTGGCCAGAAGCCACCCTCCATTCCTGGCCACATTAGCCTCTCCATAGGACAGCTTTCAGCATGTCAGTTTGCTTCAAGTGAGAGAGAAGATCCAGAGAGAGTGGTCACAGCCTTTCATAGCCTAACATCAGAAGTGAAATCCTATCACTTTGGCCACCAGGTCTAGCCTACACACGAAGGGAGGGGATTACACAGGACATGAATTTCAGGAGTTGGGGATCACTAGGAGCAGTTTTAGAAACTGCCTATCACAGTGCATATTAGGGACAGCACAGCTAGCAAGGCCCCAGTGGCCTGATTATGCCATGTCAGACTCCCATAGGTGATGAAAAACCACTGAAATATTTCACTGTTAAAGATAAGAAATAGAAATGTCACCCAGCAGCCAGAGCGGAGGAAGCAATGGAAATGGAGCACTGGGTAGGGAGAGCTGTTGCAATGCAACTACTTCAAGGCATGGCTTTATAATGAAATGTTTCATTGTGTCACTGGTAATCCAACCCAGAGGTTAGAGCCAGCCTGAAGGGTCGTATCCCTTTTGCGCCCTTGGCCAAACTGTTTATCCTGCTTGAGACTATCTTTTTGTGTGTTGCTCTTGCCTTTTTAACTCATCCTTTGGAGACCAGGGCAGGCATCCCCATTCCTAGGGCACTCCTTACATGTCAGACACCACTTACGATGATGTCCTAGGCATTTATTTCCTAGCACACCTGTGGGGGATGTATTGTTTGATGGAAATGTGACAAGTGGTCACATGACAGGACAAAGGGGCATCAATACTTTTGTGACCTCATCCTGGTGACCTCACCCCATCCACAGACCTGACTTCCTATCTTAAAGGCCCAGGAACTGGACATTTTTGCCCCCAAATAATTGATGTTTTAGTAGAGGCTGAAACCAAGATTCCTAAGCTGCTGTGTGGCCCAGATGCCAGTTGAATGTTTTGCAATTGATTATCAGCTTCTATGTTGGAAATTGAGGGAAACCCAATAAATAAATATATTTATTCCCCTCTCAAGTGTAGAATCAATTGGCAGATGCAAGAGAAAAACAGATGAGGATCAGCAAATCACCTTTATGACTTATGAACTGATTGGAGACCTGTCTGAATGTGCTCTGCAGCTAGGGAGATGGGGAGAGAGAGAAAGGGAGTGTGGAGAGGGCCAAGTGAGCACGGTCTGCTCCCCCTCCCAAACTCACCAGTCAGATGAGCCATGCCTTCTATACAGAGTGAATGAGCGGCTACAAGAAGGAGAACGTGTCTGTGGTCCCGGGACCAGGAGCATCAGTATCACCTGGGAACTTTTAGAAATGCAAACTATAGATCCAACTCCCAGAAATACTAAATCAAACTCTGGGGGTGAGGTCCGGCAATTTGTGTTTTAATAAGCCCTGAAGGTGATTCTAACACAGGCTTAAAGCTGAGAATCACTGGCCTGTTGGAAGTTGTTCCCCACAAGACCCAGGAAGAAGTATTCCCCTGGAATATTTTGCCACCCATGCCCACCCATTTCCTCCACTTCCTGAGAAAACATATCCCAGAGAGAGGATTCGCTGTTCCCATGTTTTGTTTTTAGCTTACAGCTGCTCCAAGGAATACCAAGTGTAGGCTTCTCATTATCTCCCCTCTTTCCAAAGGGAAAAAATGCCATGGGTTTGGTGTCTTCTTTCTTGCACTCCTTCAGAGGAGCAGGGGGGTAATCCCTTTGTTGGCACTTGATAGTCTCTGAAGACTGAAATGATCAGTAACACAAAGTCAAAGATGGGAGCACTGGCTTTCCACTACTGAAATATTTCTGTGGCTATCAATTCCACTTAAATTTCCACATTAACCCCTTGTCAAGGCCTTCACCCTTCCAACCATTGTCTCGCCCATTTGTTCATACCTCCAGTTACTCTGGCCTCCCTCCATCCCTCTAATATGCCATGCTCGCTTCTGCAAGGACCTTTGCTTGCACTTGCTGCCCTGCTGCTTGGAGGACTCTTCTCTCACACCTTAGTTTGTCTGGCTCCTTCTTGTCTTTTAAATCCAACCCAAATGCCAGCCCCTCGGAAAACTTCTGACCACCCATTTCGAGTGCCCTCTACCCTACGCATCATCATTTATCTCATTACCCACCTTTATTTTTTTGTGAGTACTTGACACTATCAAAAACTGATCTGGTGTTTTTGTTTTGTTTTGTTTTGTTTTGTTTTTTGAGACAGAGTTTCACTCTGTCACCCAGGCTGGAGTGCAATGGCATGATCTTGGCTTGCTGCAACCTCTGCCTCCTGGGTTCAGGCAATTCTCCTGCCTCAGCCTCTTGAGTAGCTGAGATTACACATGCACACCACCACACCGGCTAATTTTTGTAGTTTTAGTAGAGAGAGGGTTTCAACATGTTGGTCAGGCTGGTCTCGAACTCCTGACCTTGTGATTCACCCACGTCTGCCTCCTAAAGTTGGGCCTATTTGTTGTTTTTTTAATTGTCTGACTCTCCTTGCAAGAATGTGAGAGATGAGGGACCTTGTTGTATTCCCAGCACCAGAAGGATCAGAGTGGAGTGATTCAGTCATCAAGACAGTGATGGGCTTGCCTTCCTCTTCTCAAGGACTGGGGCACCTGAGGCTAGCTGAGTGGGCCTGGAATGCTGACATCACACCAGATTGTCTGCCTACTTTTCCTCTCACCTATTATCCTAGGTCCAGGCTCCCCCCCACTTCTCCTCCTCCTTCCTTCCCTCTCCCTCCACTGTCATTACATTATAGTCATTAGAAGCCAGCAGATTCAGACCCTCCTGTTGTCTTTTTCATAAAGTACTGTTAATGGAGTTAGTTTTCAGCAGGGAAACTGCAAACTGTTGTCAAAACTCTGACTTGGCCATGCAAACTCATATAATTAATCACATAGGAAACCAGAAAGGGGCGGTATGAGGGCCAGGGCATAGCTGTGTGGGGGCCCTCTTGGCAGAGAGGAGTGTGGTGCATCACACAGCTGCTGCCCACCAAGAGTCCACAGTTCAGGTTGGAAACAAGACAACCCAACTGGAACCACTACAGAGTAATACAAGTCAGGATCTAATTAGCACTGGAGGGTAGGAGGTGGCCCTCCACCTTCAAGATGTTGGTAACAAGAGATTGGTAACAAAGGAAAGGAGGATAAATGGGCAAGGTAAAGCCTGGAGATAGAAACAGTATTAAAGACAGTCTCTTTTAGAATTGTAGTGAAGAGGGCATATATTAAGTAATGTATTCTCTATTGTTGTGGAACAAATTACCACAGACTTAGTGGCTTAAAACAAAATACACTTACATGGTTTAAACATATATAATTTTAAACTTACATTTATACAGTTTCTGTAGGGTCAGAAGTCTGGTAACAGCTTAGCTGCATGCATTGCTTGAGGTCTTGGTCAGCCAGGGCCAAGTTCTCATCTGATGGCTTGCCTGGGGAAGGATTCACTTCCCCACTTGTGTGGCTTCTGCAGCATTAAGTTCCTTGTGGTTGGCGGACTGAGAACTTCTGTTTCTGGATGACTGATGGTCTGAGGCCAGCCTCAGCTGCTAGACATTTCCCACAGTTCCTTGCCATTCCTTGCCACATGGGTTTCTCAAACTTGACCACTTACTTCATCAAGCAGCAAGGAGAATCCCTAGAGCAAACTGGCTATCAATATGTAATTATTTATCATTACATAATCACAGAAGTGACAGCCCATCTCCTTTGTCATATTCTATTGGTTAGAAGAAAGTCACAGGTCCAGCCTGCTCTTAATGGGAGGGGATTGTACAAGGGTGTGAACACAGGAAAGGGGGAAAGGATTATGGAACAGCCACTCCAGAGGATATCCGCTACCCCAGAGGATATTAGCCACCCCAGAGGATATCTGCTACCTATTAGGCTTAGGACTGTACCAAATATTTTGACTTGTATTACCTCAGTTAATTGCTAAAACAACCTGTAAGGCAGGCATGCACAGATAAGAACATGAGGCTCAGAGGATTGAGAACTTGCCCTAAGTCCTGCCAACATTAAGATGGGGACCACCATATTATGGCATCAAGTGAACTTGTGTGATCATAGAGGCTGGAGGGTTGGCACCCTTACAGTAAGGAGCAAGGGCCCCAGGAAGGCAGGGAGAGCAAGAGAGGGATAGCTCCCCTTGAGGGGTGAGACCAGGAAGAAAGGTTGGGTATGGATTACATTTCAAGAATGAAGGAAACCGAGAGCACTTATATCTGCGGATCTCTATTTTCTCAGTGAAGCAGAAAATGAGGGTGTCTCCTGAGAGAGTGGAGGTTGGGCTGGAAGGGAAGCATAGCCAAGTTGGAATAGCAGCTGTGGGGAATGGGGAATGGGAATTTTACCAGCATGCCTACAAAGTTGTCAGGTAGAATAAGACTCCTTCCTTCATGAAAACTGCAGCATAGGCTAGTTGGGTGACCCCCAGCCCCTCCCCCAGCACTTCCTGTGTTCACTTTCATCATCACGCTTTGCAGTGCTGTGATTTATGCCCAAGTCCATCTCTGTAATTAGATGGAAAGTTTTTACAGGGCAAGAACTTAACAGTAGTGTGTAACATGCTTCCCTGTACCCAGTACAGTGCCTGGCACATGAAAGTCCTCTGTAATGGCTAGTTTGATTCCAAACCCTGAATTTCTAAATCACTCTATTATCTCTCATCCCCTAAAGACTCATGCAGTTCTAAAAGACTGTTCAAAAATATGTATTTTTATTTTTTAGCACAGTAGAGTAGAAAGTGTAGGTCTTCTATCATAGAACAGGGGTCCTTAGAGGTGAAGTTAGCAAGGTCTGTTGCGTGTATAACCTGGTGACAAAAATCAGCTTTACATTTTGGCCCAGTATTTTGTATCTCAAGAAGTTAAAAGAACCATTTCATAATATTCCATTTTAGTCTTTATTGATTGGTATGAAATGTTGCCCACAGTATATTGTTGCCTGAAAAATCTAGTTACCATACAGACACTTAAAGCACAATTCCATTTGTGTCAAATTACTGTCAAGCAGAAAAAAACCTAAGTCAAACCATCTCAGGGAAAAAATAAAATGTGTTATCTTCAATGAAAAGTTTAGGATAATGTTCTGATGCCTCAGGGATTCTCTCATCTCAGTCTCCTTCTTGGGCGCGATGAGATGGCAAATGACTGTCAACATCTCCTGGACTACAGTGTCCCCCAGGACTCCTCACACAAGCCCAGAGATCCCCCCTGATAGGAACAACTTGGGTCACATGCCCACCACTGAGCCAGTGACTATGGCCAAGGCGATCCTCCCCTCTGATCCAGCCTTGGTCACAAAAGGGAGTCAGGATGCTATGAACAAGAAGAGTTGATGTCACATGTTATACCTCTGTCCACTGAAAAACTGACTGGTCTGGTCCCCCAACTCCCTGTTTCTTTGTTTGTTTGTTTGTTTGTTTGTTTGTTTTTTGTAAAATCTCAACTCAGATGTCATATGTTTCTTCTGGGGCCTGAAATGGGAGCTTGAACTCCAGGTCTGCCCAGTCCTGAGAGTCAGACCTAATGTTCCTAAACCTGGGTCCTCCAACCTGGATCACCACTCAGAATGAGGGTTCTACCTCCGTGAATGCTGCTTTTACTGGCCCAAGCCACACCTTTGCTTACTGCTGATACTTCTCTCAAAGTTAGCCCTTCCCTTCCCTCCCCTCCTTTTCCTTCCCCTCCTCCCCGTTCCCTCCCCTTTCTTCTCCTCCATTCTCTTCCCTTCCCCTCCCTCCCCCACTTCTTCTTCCTACTTTCTCCTCCCTTCTCCTTCCCTCCTCTCCTTTCCCTCCTCCCCTCCTTCCCCTCCTCTCCCTTTCCTTCCCTCCCCCTTTTCCTCCCCTCGCTTCCCCTCCCTTCCCCTCCTCTCCCTTCCCCTCCTCAGGATCAGTTTCCCTGCCCCAGTCTCTCCTCTACCAACCCACTCACTCCTACACAAAGCATCAACCACAGCTACTCGAATGCCACACATCAGACCACGAACAGGAAATATAGTTCAGTGGCATTTTATTTTTATGAACTGGATCCATCAGCGCTGCCTGACTCTTTTCCCTCTTCACCGGTTTCTAGCTGACAGTTGGTACTTCCTGGTAGTGCGTTTACATTGTTTTTGTTGTTTACGGTAGAGTTCAAGTTCCTCGTAGTACTTAGCTCTCAGGAGAGCCGCTCTCTGCTCATAAGGGTGCTTCTCCAGGTCTGTAGTCGCCGACCACATCCTCCCTGTGGCCTTGGCCACCTGCACTACTGACCAGTTTGGGTTCTCGCTCTTGAGCTGAGCATAATGGTCTTGGCAGAAGAGTAGGAAGGACGATGGGGGCCGTCTGGGTGCCTGGGGATCCCGCTTTCTCCGTTTCTTCCTTTTGCCGACATAATTCATCATTTCTTCCTGGTATCGGGCTTTGTCGAGTTTGGCCAGGGCTTCATATTTGGCCTTTTCATGCCTTGAGATGGATCTCCATTTTTCCGAACACATTCTAGAGAACTCTTTAAAGCCAATGTAGGTGTTTGGCTGCTGCTCCTTGAATTTGTTTCTGTAATTCAGCAAAAAGTGGATGTAAGAAGAGACATTTGCCTTGGGTTTTAGCTGGATTTCTTTTCCCATGTTCATAAGTTCATCTTTTATCTGGATTCAATAACTTGGACAGGAGAGACAGCTGTCCCCACACTCCAGGAGCAATCTAGAAGGTGCTCTACCTACGGTGAATTTTTCTGTCTGCAAGAGCTGCAGTTGGGGCTCAGCCTTTTCAGTGGTGGTGGCATTGTTGAGTCAGAGGAGGGAAACTGTGACATCATCCACAAGCTAACCAATCCCAGCCAACACCTGTGAGCATTTGTGTACAGGTGCTCTTATTGGTTGGTTACTTGAGGGTCGATGTTTGCCTCTCATGAAAGATGATGGCTCATTCTTAGAAGGCTTTGAGGCACCTATTTTCCCTGGAAATCATTCTCCTTGGTTTCCTAGAGGCAATAGGTTTTGCTGCACTCTGGGGGCATAAATCCCTAGGCTGTGGTGACAGGCCCTGGGGTCTGCCTTCCTCACTATACAATTGTCAGGATGCCTCATCATCCCTTCCAAAGACAGGCTGAGAATAATGAACATGGGGAGGTGGATGGCTCCAGGGCTGTCATGATAAAATGTTTGCCTTGAACACTGGCAGCTCATGTCATACAAAGGGTTTAGTAGTAATTCTGAAAGTAATCAGGTATGACAGCTGTGACTCAGTTCCTGTCAGGACAAAGTTGTCTAATTTAAAACCTGAGCACTTGGGCTATCAGTCTGAACTCTTCGTTTCTCTGAAGAAATGCAAGGGGAAAGAAGGAGGAGAACCTTGAGATTTTATTAATTAACACTGAGTCCATGAAAATGAGATGGAATTTGTAACACATCCAGAAGCCTCCCCACTCTTATGTGAGGGGTCCCCATTTCTTAGGTTTAGAGCACAAAGCTGTAACAGCTCCACTCAAACTGTCTGGCTTCTGGCTTTTTGTAGAAGTAGTTGTACATATTCCACTAGCTTTCAATTGGAGGGAAGAGAAAAGACGAAAAAGTGTCTTTTTTTTTTGGCCTTTGGACACTGCTAGGTACTTGCCTGTGTGACACTGGGTTTAATATAACTTAACGGTTGATGATAGCCCCAAATTTATAGGACTAGAAAACTGAGTATCATTCACATAAAAAGTAACATGTTCAAGGTTGAACAGCCACTCACAGGTGGGAGTATGGGTTTTGACTGCTGATTGCTTGACTCAAGCCTGTGCTTCACCCTGCCTGCACAGAACTGTTGTGGGGGTACTGAGGGTCCAGATGTGGGGTCTCAGCAGCTGAGCCAGTCAAGGAAACTTGCCTAAGGCTAGACCACATTTTGAATTTTTCCAGGTTCATTCCCAGGGTTCCAAGACTTCAATATTTATCTTCTATAAAAGGAAGATGGAAACTAATAACAGTCCTAGATTCTTGCCCCGGCTCTGCTGCAAGATGGCTGGCCTACCAAGCCATCACCTTCCTCCCTGTGAGCCTATGATCTCTCATAAATTGAGCATTCTGGACTGGCCAGGGAAGCCCCTCCAGGGGACAAGCTGCAGCTGTGTGGCTGGATTTGGGGGCCTGTAAGATATCAGATGCCAGTCAAGGAAGTCTGGGCTAGGAGTAGGTCTGGCAAAGGAAGAGATTTCTCTGGGGACATTTATCAGCCTATGTAGCTTTTTCTCCCAAGGGACCAGAGCTTGACTCATACATTGGTTGGACATGAGCAGGGCTGTATAGATGAATGGGACACAGATCCTTTCTAAGATCAAAAGACGGAACATGAGGAAGAACTTTAATGAAAGTCCACATATTAATCAGACTCTGCTCAGCCTCAGGCGTGCGCATGCGCGCGTGCGCACGCGCACACACACACACACACACACACACAGTAGCTTATCTGTGCCTCTGTTCATAACCTTCCCTCCCTCTAATGATAAGATCCAGGAAGATTAACCTGCAATAGCCATCAGTTAGCTAGCATATTTAAGAAGAAAAGGCAGTAGAAGGGAAAAGCTATGTCAACCTTTTGGTGTTGTCAAAGTTCCAACTTGGAAGATGAAGCAGGGGAAGTCCTTGTTTAGGGGAGCTTAGGAAAGGTAAATAAATCTGGATTTCTAAATCAATGCTGTGTCCTGGGTGTCTAAGGTTTGCCCTTTCAGATCCCCTTTCCAGCCTTCTCCAACCTTCTCTTTTCAACCTTCTTTGGCCTGGGAAACTGGTCTGTATGAATCACATCAATGGATCTCATACCCTCTGGCTTCCATCTCCCTTTGATGAGTGGGGAACGCCCACAGGAAATCAGGGATAAAGGAAAGTTAGGTCAAGGCATTTTTTCTCCTGGATCCCCACCCCAGGGTCACCTGGAGCTGGTTCTGTGTCCCTGGACTGAAAGTCACTGGTCTTCATAAGGTGTCCTCTATAAATGACTCTCTCCTTCCAGGTACAGGCATTAACCCCCCTCTATCTCCTTCTGCCTAGGGTGGTAAAAGCTCTACTTTTATGAGCCTCTGAGG